ATTTGTTTAAACTGTTTGTAAACTAAATAATTCCACGCATTTCAGACTTCCGCTATGCTTGTGTTTATTTTCGAACATGCATGATGCTATTTTCAGACTTAAATAATTTTACCCGGTTCGCCAGTACGAACGGGTCCAGACTAATATGCATGATTCGTAAAAATATAAACCTGAATTCTTTAAGTCTAAACCAGTTGTTAGACCGAGGTTAAAGAAACGGGTTTTTAAGCAGAAAAGTCCTTAGCAGCATCCTGAGATAGTTTGCAAATGATTTCGAAAAATTTATAAGCGTTTTCGAAAGAGTTAAAATTTGCGAAAAATTGGCCCTAGTTAGCGGGGTGTTGCATATATATATATATATATATATATATATATATATATTTTATTGCAATTTATAACAGGTTTATATTATCAAATCTCGTTAAACGAACTAAAAAAGTATGCTCATATATCAAACATAAACTAATCAGTCATCAAATAAACATCGAAATCCAAAATTCACATGAATTATACATCCTCTCTTCTCAAAGTCACCCCAAATTTACGATCGTCAGAAACTCTAGAAATCTCTCAAGCCAAATTCTCCAATTCCGACGACGTCTCCCTCGTCGGAGACAGTCCCGTTGCAGTAGGGATCAACTTCTGTCTATCCACAACTGAACCTTACATTTTCTTTCACTCACCTATTAGCTGCCATTTTTGTGCTGCTCCAATGTCTGCCATCCTCAATCGCCTAACTATCTCCAAAAGAAACGAGATTCTTATTCCAAGCCCGCCAACTTCTTGAATTCCCACCCTCGCTCCAAACCTTGAGCAACTTCTCCTTTCTGCCCCAAACTCCTTCCCCCACCATCGTCTACACCGACAACTGCATCACCGAACTAACCATCGCCGACATTTGGACCTCGCCATCCCGAATTCCAAACTTCTATCCGTCGAACTTCTCTGTCCCCGACGACGCTCTCTCCGATAAATTCTCAATCGACTCCTTTACCGTCCTTACGAAGCTCTCGAGCCTACAGAAGTTGTCACTGGTCACCCTCAGGCTATGGGGCCCGTTGCTGCCCAAGATCAACTGCTTCAGATCCCTCGAGCTCCTCAACCTCAGCGCCAACTTCCTGGTCGGAGAAGTTCCCCAGTAGGTCGTCGCCTACCGTAGCCTGAAGACCCTCAACCTCACCGACAACCTGCTCAACGGCACCATGTCGGATATGCTGCCACTGGAGGAGCTTGATCTCAACAGAAATTCTCTAGGCCCCAAGTTTCACGTTGTCGTCGGGTTTTGGATTTGAATTTCATGAAAAGAAGTGTGTGATGAGTAGTATTTTATAGCTAGTATTTATCTAAATATTTATGTTAGTTTAAGTAGTTATGTAACTAATTTTTTCATTTAATATTTTGCAATTATTTAGCAATCGGTTAAGTATATATGTAAAGGGAAATGTTCACATGTCCACGGTGGACACATATTAATATGTCTACCATTTATGTGGCATGCACATATTGGTGATGTATTTTTTTCAAAATATTAACATCAGCAATGTGTGCATGCCCATTATCTTGGCAATAATGAGCCAAGCTAGTATTTGCAGTGAATCCTCGCGGTAGGCATGTGAGCATTTTCTATGTAAATTGATAAAAAATAACCAAAAAAAAAATTATACAAATGAAAAACCTATTAAAGAAAGTTGAAATTATCAAACCCATGTAACCAAACAGGTCAGGAAGTCTTCTCACCCAACACCTCCAACCCAAACAAACACGGTTTAAACACGAAGTTACAAATGAAAAGGGTCTTCTCTAAAAATCAGCGACTGCTTTTAAAAGTTTTACCTTTTTCAATTCATAACTTCCTGCAAATTTAACTCGTGAAGTCTTCGATTTCCTCATCGGTTGGAATCTACAGGTCAGTAGTCATGCTCGATTGAGATATATTTATTCGAATTTTGATAAATCCCAGCTGTTTGTATATGTGGGTCAGATTGACGAACGCACTTCATTTCGTTTCCAAGTTTAGGGCTTCCGCTTGTGTTTTCCTTTTGAAACACTTCGTATTTCGGAAAATATATATAGTTGACAATGTTTACGCGGATTTTCGGAAAGCCAAAGCAAGAGACCAATGCTCTTGCAACGCTGGACAAGTTGAACGAGGTATGGATTTTTATCTATGATTCACTATTTCATTTTATTTTTCTTTTATCATCTTCCTTTTTTGATTTGCCACAATTTTTTATTTTTTTTCTTTTTTTTTTCCCAACGATACAAAGCTCTAATAAAAACAATTTTTTATTTTTTTTGTCATGAAGATTCTTGTTATGCTAAATGGAAGTAAAGAAGAAACTGTGGATGATGATGGCACAATGATAATTGGGGGTTGAATTTATGACAAGACATTTTACAATATTTTCAGTTTTGGGTATTATTTGGAAATTGATCACCGTGGTTTTTAGTCTTCCATGGATTTTACAAATGTCTTCCCTCATTTGTCAATCAGTTAGTTTGGTCTATTTAGTTTCCAGTGTTATATTCATAGACTTGTAGCAATTTTGTTTAACTGTGTGAATGCTCGTTTGGGTGTTGTGCTCAGACTCTTGAGATGCTTGAGAAAAAAGAGAAGGTCCTCTTAAAGAAAGCTGCCTCAGAAGTCGAAAAGGCCAAGGAGTTCACTAAAGCTAAAAATAAAAGAGGTGAGCTCTTAAGTATTAGTTCTTTTTGTCTAGTTTTTTCCATCATTTCTATTGCGCATGCTAAGAAGACTTGAGCTGGACCCGAGTTTTCTAATTCTTCATATGGTACTCCTTCTTTGTTCAGGTACTTAAAGTATCTCGGGTGTTATGACACGGTTACCATATTTTTCCTTTTTCCCACTTTACAATCAATGAATTGTATTATGGAATATTCTATACTTTCTTTCGGACCAGCAAAATTCCATGAGTTGGTTCAGTTTGTGCTTGCTATTACTGCCCTCTTAAAGAATCTATTTCTGCAAATTTGTTTTTAGCTGCAATACAATGCTTAAAGAGGAAAAGGCTTTATGAACAACAAATTGAACAGCTTGGGAATTTCCAGTTGCGCATTCATGACCAGGTGCTATTGATAAGTTTAAATAATGTGATTATCCTATTGAACTGTCCATGTACTGTCATTTTAAGCTGGGCATGCACTTTGTTTGCAGATGATTATGCTTGAAGGGGCGAAAGCCACAACAGAAACTGTTGATGCTTTGAGAACTGGAGCAGCTGCCATGAAAGCTATGCAGAAGGCAACGTAAGTTATGTTGATAGCTATAAAATGTTCAAAGATAGTACAGTTACTATCTCATTCTGGAAAAGAAAAATCAGATATACAGAACAATATATTCAAATTCAAATAAAAAGGAGAATAAACCAACGAAGGAAGGAAATAGAATTATATTATTGATTTGGAGAGGACCAAAAACTGGTGGAGATTAAGTTACAGGACTTGAAATTCTTTCACGTATTTTTTGTTTTCCAATTAATGAAAATGTATGGAATCTAGAGGCTGCACCGGACTACTGCATTGCATATATTGACATAAATGTATTATGATTCATATTTGATATTGCTTTTTCATTATTTGGAATAAAAGAATCTGGCTTGTCACATAATATCTGTCGGCAGAAGCATTAATAGTGATAGCTTTATATTTGTATCTTTTTATGTCAATGTTATCTTAAGATGCAACTATTAAATTCTGACATTGGCTTTTCTTGATCTAGCAATATCGATGACGTGGACAAGACAATGGACGAAATCAACGAGCAGACTGAGAATATGAAACAGATTCAAGAAGCTCTGTCAGCACCAATTGGTGCTTCAGCTGATTTTGACGAGGCATGTTATATAGTTTCCATATTCTTCTTACTTTTTATCCTGTTTCCTTTTGGGGGACAATACTTCTCACTTGTTTTCCTTCAACAGGATGAACTGGAGGCAGAGCTTGAAGAACTCGAAGGAGCTGAGCTGGAAGAACAGCTTTTGCAACCCGCAACAACGGCTCCTGCTGCCCCTGTTCGTGTTCCTGCGGGAAGGCAGCCAGCAAACAAGGTTGAGGATGAGGATGATGAGCTGGCAGAGTTGCAGAGAGAGATGGCCCTTTAAGGTAATTTTCTCTGACCTATTCTGTTAGTTACTCAGTTTTGTCTGGTTATTGTTGCAAGTTGATAAATTAATGAGGAAATCTGTACTGGTATTCTTTTGTGGCTCTTTAATTGAACATAACTTACTCTAGCTGGATTCGAAATGAGAGAGAACGGCTGAGGTTATTACTATTACGAGATGTGCGATATTTCACTGGATAAATGTATAAATTCTTGAGATTCATTTATTTTTGGACTTCTTTAAAGGTTTATCAAGCATGTCGGTTGGGTGGTCTATGGAGAAATTTGGTCTTACATGTTAATGAGTAGAATTGCTTCTTGGTCTTACATTGTTATTTGCAAAAGTATAATTGGGAGCTTATCTATATTGCTGCTGAACTGAATTATTTGTTAATCACAGTTGTTGCCTGCTATGCCGCCTCCTATGTCCTCCTATCTGCTTATGAGGTAGCTTATAAGTTCATTTGTTTGTGGTGGTTTTCAATTTAAAATTATCAGCAACTCATGGCAGAACTCAGTTATGGCATGGCGCTGAAATACTGAAAGAATGGATAAATTGTTTTATCCACTTGTCAAATGGGTGTGTAATTTTACTTTTGATAATGGAAAAATGTAATATAGTGAATCAATTTATTAACTGGGATTAAGTTTTTGATGTACTCAACTGTCCTGATACTATTCGCATTTTGGTAATGCAAGAATCTACATTTTATCAGTATATATGTATTAGCATTTTCAGTGATCGATGATTGCTATGCTTACTTTGTCTACTGCAGCCATTTATTTTAGGATAATTGTGGATGAAAAATGCTTTATGTTAATGGATTGGTTTCCCTTATATGGGTTTGTTACATATTCCGAGTGAATTCACATCTCATCTGCTAACAGTTCACTTTGATGGCTGCTTTGCAGATATATTAATTGGAAGAATTTGTAAAATATTGAATCTGCTGTATGATGGAAGATGACAGCTATTGAATGCCACCTGATTTTCAGATAAAATTAATGGATGTGCATTTTCCGGATGAAACACAGTTGTATAGATGACGAATAAGTTCCAACACAATTGTCTTTTATAATTAACCATGCGTCATTTGTTTGCTGCAAAATCTATGTCATTTGTTTGCTGGAAATCTATGATTTGATATCCCTTTGGAAATATGTCCTCAATTCATTACTGTGCATGAATCATGATATACACAAATGCTAAGGTTTCATTATATACTTACACTAATAATCTATACTTATATAATAAGAATTAACATTTATTCAAAATAGTAGGTCAAATTATGGTCAATATTGGATTTGCATTAAATATTTTTCAAAACTGGTAAGTTTTTGTCCTTTTCACACTTCTCATTAATTATGTTCTTTTCACACTTCTCATTAATTATGTCCTTTTCACATTTCTAATTATGTCGTTTTCACACATCTAATTAATTCATTAATTACGACATAATTATCATAAATCATTCCATCTGACCTTTTTATCGTTAAAATGTATAACGATCTGTTATGATCTTATCCCATTAATATTTCCATGAAGCGTGCTTATCGCGTTCTATTTTTTTTGGTAACCACTCTATATCAATAACCGGATATTTGGTTAATGATAGCACACGCCTTTATTTTAAAGAGCGGATATTCTTTGAGCTTTAATTAATCTGAACTGATTGCCTTGACTTTTCAATTTTTAAAAACTCTTTTTTTTTAAATATTTCGGCTTAAGATTTGGATTTCATTATACAAGTCACCGGATTGTTTGAATGAAAATGAATGAAAAGAACACCAAAAACAGGTAGCCTTATTCATATAACTAATCCTAAAATATTAGTTTGTTCACCAAAAAGAGACAAATCCTAGAAATCCTAAAATATTAGTTTGTTCACAAATCCTAAAATATTAGTTTGTTCACCAAAAATATTAGTTTGGTTTTTAGGATTTGTCTCTTTTGAAAATATTAGTTTGTGATAATGAAGAGTTACCAAATAATCAAACGCATAATGTTGTGTATAAGGAGGTTTTTAATAATATATGATTGTTACCGAACTTTTTATGATTCAACAATGTTCCAATGTATTTTAATGATTTCAATTTCGATCCTAATGCACGTGAGATTATATTATTCTTCCAAATTTTACATCCCGTGCATCGCATGGGTTACGTACTAGTACTTGATAAATGGAAATAGAAACAAGACAATCCTCAATTTTCTTTTGCTTACATCAATTTGTTCATGCCCATGACATCATCATAACCATTCAAACACATGCAAAACAATCAACTCCCTCTTTTCTCTCTCCTTCATAATTTATATATATCCGTGTTGACCTCGACTCGCTCCTTTGGAATTAACAATGGAAAATGCTGAACAAATCTGCGTTACTATCATCATCAGCTCCAAAAAGTGGTTCATCTTGAGACCAAATGCTACTCATAATAACTTCACATGAATTTTCATCATCAACTGAAATTCCACCAAAACCAAATGGCTTAAAACTGCTCAATTCTTGGTGGGATTTGTAAAATTCAAAAGTATTATCAGAACCTGATGAGCCGACGCTGTAATTTGAGGGCAGATATGAAATAGCAGTCGAGGAATTTTCATTGTTTGTCAAGGACGTAGTTTGCTCGAGGCTTACGGTGGGAGGGGCATTTTGGGGATTGCAAGTAGTGGGAGGGGTGTTATTGTCCGAGGATAGGACCTTCTTTTTCAACTTTGTGTTCCAGTAGTTTTTCACATCATTGTCTGTTCTCCCTTCCAGTTTTGAGGCTATCACAGACCATCTATCATCAGTTTAATTAATTAATTAATTACCAGCCAAGACAAATATATATATAAATAAGAATGTTAATTAAAAATTGATGAAAAAAGTTAAAAATCTTACCTGCTTCCAATTTTGTTGTATAAATCGCAAATAATAATTTCTTCCTCTTGTGTAAAAGCGCCGTGCTTAATATCTGGTCTTAGGTAATTAAGCCATCTAAGACGACAACTCTTTCCACAACGACGAAGACCTGGTAAGCCAGAAAATTATTTACTTTGATAATATAATTAATACCACCATTTGTTATCATATATATAGTAAAAATATCCTAGAAAACAAAATTAATTAGGAGAAATTAACATTAATTACCAGCTTTTTGTGGCAAAGAAATCCAATTTCCTGCAGTGCCATGTTTGAGGAGATAGCTCTTGAGAGTTTCATCTTCTTCAGGAGACCAACTCCCTCTCTTCACTTTGCTCTTGTCACAACAAGGGCTTCGACCCATTAATTAATTATAAATATATATATATATATATATTCACAAATTAATATATCAAATTGCTCACACACAAACTAAGGAATTAATGCGTGTATATATAATAGGTGAATGGTAAATTTCAAAGACTGTAAAGTAGTGTTAAAAGTATTTTCAAAAGATACAAAAGAGAAGAAGAAGAATGACTAAATAAAGAAACAAAAATGAAAATTGTCCTTTTCTTGTTTCTAAAAGCAGTTGTGATTTCTGGTCTCTTTATTGAGCTTGACTCGGCAAATAGCTTGTGAGGAATGTGTTAAAACGTAAGAAATTGCCAATTTTTGTCTTCGATTAAAGGGTAAATTACCAAAACTTCCTCGACGTGAAAAGGCCATGGTAATAATTCTTTCATATTGAAACCAAAATTTGTTATTTTGTTTATTATCTCTTCAGGAAACAAACACGCACACACAAACTTCAAAGGTGGTCATTGATGTTACTCTTAATTTTAATTATCAATTAATGATATTTGGAAAAAATGTATATGTTTATGATGAAACTTAATATATTTTATGGATTTAGTTAAAATATTTACTACAATTCATTATTATTAGTCGAATTGTATGACTACCTACTGTATTTAACTCATTTACTATTTACCGCTTCCCTTTATTAGTCACCGCTCTCCTTTTTATATTTTTGCCCTTAATTATTTTTCTCTCTCTATCTCTCTAAACTATCTTTCTCTCTAAACTCCCGAACTTTCAACGAGCGATTCGAGCACCGAAAAAAATCCGAAAAAATGTCGAAAAAATCCTACGGACTCGGCAAAGCATACTTCTCTAGCAAGGTAATTTTAACCAGACCTGTCTAGAGATCCGATAAAATCTGAAAACTAGCCTGCAAGTTTGATTAGATTATACATATCCGTTTTTTTTATGTCTAAACCAGTATTTAGACCATGTTAAAGAAAACAGATTTTCAGAATAGATAAGTTTAGTATCATCCCGAGTTAAGTTAAATGATTTTGAAAAATTTATATGTATTTTCGAAATAAGTTGCAAAAATTTTACTCTGATACTAGTAAGTTAGCGGGGTGTTACAGGTTCGGACCGACCGGCCGTCGGGGCCGGACGCCATTTGGGCCGTCCGATTTCGGCGGCCGGACAATATTAATTTTTTTTTTTATTTTTATTTTTTGAAAAAAAATGTCGGGGCAAAAATGTCCATAGGGGGGCATTGAATAGCAATGACCGTATTTAACTGATTGACAATGAGCCTATTGCTTACATTACAAAATCACTATGGCGTGAACCAAAAAAGATAAATCTAAATCCAACTCTTAAAAAATACAAATTTTTGCATGAGTCAATTTAATAGGGAGGCGAATTGTATCCTCATACATTTAAACAAATATATATAGTTGTACTATTAAATGTCATACTTCTATTTATGATATTTCTGTTAGAAATATTTTATTGGACAACATATGTAAATTAAATGTGTATAGTTGTCATAATATTATTCAATTAAAGTGATCTACTAATTTGTAATTTTGAATAAAGAGAGTATCAAATTGTTATGAATTTAAAAGTGTAGATACCATTATGTGATTTTCTGTTTGTTGAGGGACCGAACTGAAAATCAATATTTCTTATTTATTTGGTTATGGCCCCAAACGACGAAAAGACACGAGCAGATTTATGAAGGGGTGCTTTCTCCCTTTAAAAGCACTCACCTTCTTACTTCAGAATGATTGAATATAACAAAATCATATATCCAATACAAACACTACAGATCAAAATCTGCTATAAGGTTCGATCGTTTGGAAGACCATACCAGTCCAACAAGATCGTTTGGAAGAACACAACACACGAGAATTATCAAGCAAATGAATTCATGAAGTACGGTACGCTTCCGCTTTTATTCGGTTTGATTCTCAATTATTCGATATGAATGCTCCTGGGGTAAAGCGGTTTTCACATAAGGTTAATTTTTTGTTTTTTTTTCAACAATTTCTATTTTATAATGAAAGAATATATACATTTATGAAATGAGTATATGGACCTAAGGGTAGTCAGCATGATATGAGACATGATGTGTAAAAAAAATACAGTTGATTAAGGTTTGGGGTTATTTCTGTAATTACTTGTCAGTGCTATAGGTAAAAGTAAAATTGACTTGAAGGACATTTTGGTCAGCATACACGCTTGTAATTAAATGGAGTCTACCCTTCTAGACGGTAAAAAAGGGTGGTGTGAGTTTCCTCACACCTTCTTGCAGTAGACTGGGATCAGATTTGATTGTACCCAAATCTGTAAATTATGATTTAGCATTTTAAAACTAAAACTTATAGTAGAATTTCAATTCGTTTTCTAATATTTTGAACCAATTAAATTTGGGTCCGAAGACTATGCAGTATACACTAGAGTCTCGTCAAAACGAAACTGAGCCTGCCCCCGCCCTGCCAAAGAGCGAGATGGGCTCCCTTGTTCAGGCCCGTTTGGCTGCCACACCAAAACAAAAAATTTATGTAACCTATCTATAATCTATAATAATATAAAGAGGTTGTTGAAAAAATATTTTATAGTAAGTTTGACTAAAAAATAAATGATTTGACTTATTATTAGTAAAAATTTTGGAAAAAACACATGTAAGTCTTTGGAAATCAAATTTAATTGAGATATCCCAAAAAAAAAATTAGAGATTCTTATGGTAACAAATTTGGAGATTCTTATATCAAAATTTAATTCGTTTTAAATATTAATCCCCTGGGAATCTATTTTTATTGGTAACAAATTTGAAGAGTCTTATGCCAAAAAATTGAGATTTTGAATTGAGATATCCCAACAATTACAGATTTTTTCCATTCAAATTAATGTTGTAAATCAAATAAAAAATTATTATGAGAATAATGGATGCTATACTAAATCTATACTTATATTAAAAGGGGTACTATTTACCAAATTAAGTAGTCAAAAAAGTCAACAGCATTTATTACATTACTATTTCCGTATTATACTATATAAAAGGATATTCTATTTACTACATTTACTATCCAGAAAAGTCAACTGCATTAAATGTCATTACTATTTTGGTATTATAATATTTTATTTATTTAATTGATTGATTTATTTGTTTTATTTTAAAAAGATAAGTATAATAAAAAGATTTTAATAATAAAAAATCAAATACCAAATAAAAATGTACACTTTGACTTATTTGATTATATTTGGTATTTGATTATACTAATTATATTCCTATTTAGTATATACATTAAATACTTACTAAAGTATTTATTTGTTCTATTTGTCAAAGTTAAGTATAGATTTGTTTATATTATCAAATCATAAAAAAATATTAAATCCATATTGTTAAAAAAAAATCATATAATTTTATAACAACTCTACTACACTATTTAACAATATTCCTTTTTTATTATATAATAAAATAATAATTAAATATTATATGGTGAACAACAATAAGTAAAACTGTTACTTTCTCTTATATTAAGGGATAAATTTATATACTAAAATTAAATTTTTATTAGTATAAATGTTTTAGTGAGATAATATATTAATTATTTTACAAGCTAGGCCTAACATGCTCATATTTAATGTTTCAAAAGATGTAGAAAAAAAGCTTATAATAACTTTAATATTTTTTAAACTTAAACGTTGATTAAAAGAGATAAAAATTCTTAATTTTTTAGACTTAAACGTTGATTAACACCATAGATTGAGAGTTTATATTTAGTAAAATTCCTAATTGTAGTAAAAAAATTAATTTTTGCTATATTTTAGAATATCTTTAAATTCATTATAAAAAAAAAACTACAATGAAAAAAGCAAGTCAGCTATATATCGATTTGTTGTACTCCTCAAATCATATTCACAATTTGGCTACAAGGAAAGAAAACTCATTGATTAAAATATTATTTTGTCAGTAGTCTTAATGTAAAAGAGACTTTAAGACTCTACTTGAATATTATAAAACTTTTATTGAACATTGTACAATTTCTTGCGTATTATAAACTTTTATTGAATATTGCATCTTATAATATAATATTCTCTAAATAAATATATCTCGTGCTTCTGCACGGGTCACGTACTATATATATTCCGTACATTTTTCTTTATTCATGTATATAATTATAAGCCTGGATAAATAGCCTTAAAATTGTGCACCCCGTGCATCGCACGGACTCTGTACTAGTATTGATAAACTCCAATCCTCCATAAATTATTTACATTTATGAATTTTGTGTGTAAATAACTAAATATATTGATTTGCTTTTCGTAAATCAATTACTATATAATAGAGAAATGGATTTACTTGACATAATATTGAAAATCTCGCTTAAAAATTTCAAAGTTACTATATTCATATTGATTCTCAAAGTTACTATTCTTATTAATTTTTTTAGAAAATGGCGGCTAAATGAAAATTCGAATTCAATTTAAAAAAAATTGTTATTTGAGAAAGATATTGTGTAAACCTTAATTCTTAAAACATGGTGATAATATTGACCGCAGAGATTTGTTACCATAATTATAGGAAATCAAATGAGTATCTTCTTTAGTTTCATTCACAATATTATTGGTAGATATAATATAGGAAATATTTTACATATATAATAATAATAATAATATCTGTATGAATATCGATAATTTGCGTATGATATTTGAAATATTATACTAAACCTACTGGATTTGATTTTGATTAAGAAATTATTAATCTAAATTTATTTTTTTTACATTATGTGACAACCTATAACGAAAAATTTGAAACCAAGTAAATATTTTTACGTAATAAACTTATTATTACATAATAAATTTCCACATGCGTAATGTCATTATTTATTTAATATTTTTAATATTTATTTATGGGATGTGCATATTAAATGTTTAATATATATGATAATTAATTTATTGCTATTGGTAGCACTAGTGAGAATCCTGTGCGATGCACGGGGTTTTTCGTACGTTAGAATATTTTTTTCAAAACTTAATTTTAACAATATATTAGCC